TGATCTTCCCTTCATGAGCCAGAGGTGATAGATGTGCCAACTCAGCTTAGACCTGTGCACAGGGGCTCTGCTAAAAGGCTCATTTACGCAGAAAGACTGCAAAAAACAGTGAATCCTTTACCTTTTCCAGGCCAGTTCCCATCAAGACATGTAAAAGTCTATCCTCAGTTCACCAGGAATCTTCTCTCAGGAACAAGTGCCTGTTTTGGCTCACGTGGGCTGTCAGTCCCATAGATGCCACTACCCTCTGCGGCAGCCCAAGGTGATTTGCTGGCAATATCTGGCATGTGTAGTTACACAGCCTCTGGTGGCAGGGAGCTTGGCCTTCTCCAATGAGGAGCAAGTCCACAAGTACATACAAAGGATGCACCTTAGGAGGACTGATCAACTTACCACTGTCACAGGGATGACTGAGGTTTATTACTCCCTGTCACAGCAACAAGATTGCAGCCTGCTCTATACTCCAGAGAAGGATTAGAGAACTATTTGTGTAAGAGGTAGGCAGAGAGAGATGGAGAACCAGAACCTTCTGCCTGGAATGTTCCCTCTTCACCTGTTTTCTTTTCTTTTCTTTTTTTTTCTTCACCTGTTTTCTTGGTGAACTCTTACACACCCTCTAAGCCCTGTCTGGAAAACATTTCCTGCTCCCTCCCCTGTGCTCGGTACCTCTGTACCAGCCCTGGGTCTAGGCATGTCTCCATTGTCCTACTGTCCCATGGTGTTGCAATTGCATTTTATACATCTGTCTCGGGCAGAAAGTGAATTTCTGGGAGAGCTAGATGACGTATGCCTTTTCTCAGACCCTGGCATACAACAGGCTCTTGCTCTACCAGTGTTTGCAGAATAAATCAAGAATGATAGACGTTTATACTGATTTTATTTTAGGCTAGAGAAGCCTGTCATTCTTTCTGGTTATTCCCATGTGGCTTCCTGATGGATACTATATTCCCATTTTTTGCAGTATTGTGGGAAGTGTGCCCCCATGGGGCTCACACAACCCCAAAGGGTAGGAGGCATTTCGAGTTGATAAGTCTTTTCTCAGACCACCACCTCAGCTCTGTTGCTAAATAAAACACAGGCAGGCTGGAGGGGCCAGGACATTTGCTACAGGGAACAAAGATCAGGAACTCTGTGGCTGGGAGTATGATGTGGTCACACTTCATTAGGCTCTGTAAACATCTCTCCCTTGTCAGCAAAAGTAATCTCCACTCACAAGGCAGCTGGACCTCAAGAAACCCCTGGGAAGAACACATATAACCACTCTGGTGAAATCTAGAGGGAGGTCCACCTGGCTCAGGGACCCCAGATGTAGCCCCAAAGATTTCTGAACGAATTCTGAAACAACATTGAAAAAATGGGCCATAGAGTTGGGGCTAGAGAAGCCCCAACTCTATGGCCCAGGGCCTGAGGGGCCAGCATGCCCCTCTCCAGCATTGTATATGGATGAGGACCACAGACAATATGGATATCATAGGGGCACTGTGGAAGCAAAATAATTTGAGGGTCTCACTGGGTATGGGGAGGGGTGACAGATGGGCCATGCCTCAATGCCTGTTATCTGCCTCTGGGTGTTATTTGGCTTCATAAATGGAATGGTGGTGGTTGAGAATGGGCGTGGGGAGGAAAAGCTACCAGATTTAAGGGTTACCTCCTTGTGCCACACAGGAACAGGGCTGACTTCTCCTGATAGGAGTGAGTTTGACTTGTACCAAATCCACAGAAGGTAAGCCCTGCTCTATTCCAAGTCCCAGAAGGCCAAAGGGGAGGACATTATGAGCTTTCCAAACCACACCTGACCCAGGGAGCATTCTCTGGCTCTCCTTGAGCAAGGGAGGGGCCAGGTGGGGAATATAGCTAAGCAGCAGGATGCCTTTGCTCTCAGATCCGTGGGCTTTGGAGCAGAGGGTGAGCCGGCTGCAAGCCTCTGAAACAAGGCCCCACATACATCTGTCCCACCATCACTCTGGGCTCCAGCGGAGACTGTACATGAGAACACGGCACTTCCCTACTTGTGGAGTGAGACCTGCCAGTGAGTTTGAGTTTCTATACCATGAAAACACCGTAGGCCTCTGACCATGAGGCAGTCTTATGCACCTGAAGGCTTGACCATCCTGGAGAATTCTGTTTCAGACTTCATGGAAAGTCTAAATCTCATTTTAAAAATTCACAGGGTTTTTTCTAAGAGTTCTAAGTTGGAATGCAGCCAGCTCACACCACTTGGGTGTTTTAGGGTCCATTCAGCTAGACTAACAGCCAAGCAGTTCTGCATATTTTCAGGAAAACCACTTCTAATGCCTTCCAGGCAAGCCAGTTATTTATAAATGCGCTTCAAAGTCTTCTCCAATGGCTTTCCCTTGGTAGGATGATTAATAAAGAGAAAAAATGGTGTACTTGGTTCTGAGATAACTTCAGATTCCTAGTGACTTAAATTTCCTGTTTTAGGCAATAAATAACTTGGTCTATTGGGAAAAACTTCCCTGTAGATATTTATGTGAATAACTCTAAGAGCATGCTCAGTGAATAGGACATCTCTAGACACTGGACAAAAGTGGAGTGGTTAGCATGATTAGTAATATGATTAATAAGAGGGTAGACAGCAGCACATGAGACTGGGTGACCTCATGCTAAGTTCAACTCATGCTGTGCTGTTGCTACAGAACACTGGGGGCTTTTCTGATGTTTTAGCACAGCTCAGAGACACAGGCACGTCGCAGAACATGAATGGAATGCTAGGAAGGATGGAAATGACTGAGCCGACTCAAATGACCTGTCCTATGGTCAACATCTCACATGTCCAGGTTTTTGGCCCATGTGGCCCAAGAGGGCAGCAATACCAGAAGTCATTATTGCCACCACACAGTGCTTTCTCGGCCTCTACCCTGAAGGGAGTGTCTTCTCCCATTCACATATGTCACAAGCTGTGGGCCTCCCTGTCCTTATTTCAAGCTACATATGGAGAGTCTGTGCACTTATTAAGCATAGTAATGTGATTAATAAGAGGGTAGACAGGAGCACGTGTGACTGGGTGACTTCACACTGTCTGCATGAATCACTGTGAAGGGCAGCAAGGCAATGATTCTCTCAAGGTGGACATCATGTGCTCACATTGTGCAGTGATTCCCCTGAGCTTCTGCCACTGGTGTTTCCCAGGAGGGGTCCCCTCACATCTGGCCACTTGAGAGCACAAGATACAAGAGATTCCCAGATCCCTCTGCTGTATGCACACAGCTGGGCGTGTTAAATCATTTCATATCTGTCAAAACTCACATCACTGAGCAAGGGGATTCCTGTCAAGACTTTTATGTAGAAAGAGTAAACCACTATTTCATGCTGTGGATTTATTCAGTTCAGAAATATTTGTTGAGCAATTATTATAGGCCAAGCATTGTGCTAGGCCCTGGAGCTACAGCAGTGGGCAGACAAAAATCTCTGTCTTCATTCGGTAGGGGGGCAGATGGATGCAGAGAAACTGGTCAAATGAGAAAATATAAGGAGTGTTCAGCTAGTGGGAAGGGTGATGGTGAAATACGAGCCAGAAATGGGGATGAGGAGAGCTGGCACGGAGGCTGCTTTGGGAGGTCTCACTGACATGGTGACTTGTGAGTGGGCACCTAAAGGAGTTGAGGGAGGCAGTCAAGTGGTTGTCTGAGGATCGCATTCTGGATAGAGAGAAGGCGAGGGTGACATTCTGGAGGTGGGAAAGAGAGTGTTTGCTCGGCTCTAGAACCAGCACGGACAGAGGGTCACTGAAGAGGAGAAAGTGGGGAAGAGGAGGAAGAGATGAGGTCAGAGAGTTACAGGAGACACCCAGTTATTAGCCATGAGACCAACAGATGTGCTGGAAGAGCCTGAGGCATGGGTAAAACAAGGAGGGGTTTGAGCAGAGTAACATGATCCCACTTACCCTGGGAATGCATTCTGCTGCTGGACCAAGAACAGACTGTGGGGCTTGGGGAGGCAGGGCAGAAGCAGGGACAGCAATGAAAGGACTGGTGACAGATGATGGTGCTGTGGACCAGAGTGCTGGCAGTGGACGTGTAAAGAGTGGTGACACTCTCACTGACTTCTTGATTTGTTGTGAAAGTGGAGACATTAGGTTTGCTGATGGATTAGATGTTAAATGGGGAAATGAGAGGTGTCAAGGATGACCCAAGCAAAGACAGGGATGCAGTAACTACTTGCTGAGATGGGAAAGGTTGTAGGAGAAGCATGTTTGGAAGGATACTGTGAAGAGTTCAGTTTTGGATAAGACTGAGATTCCTGTTAGGCATCTATGCAGACATGGCTTGAAGGTAGTTGACACTCAAGTCTGAAATTCATGAGGAGAAGCATCTGGTGTCATCAGTACAGACTATATTGAATGCAATGAGTTTGGGCAAATCCCTGAGATTGAATGTGGATAAAAGGAGACCCAGGGCTCTGTAAAAATTAGGAGATGAGGAGAGAAGCAAGTGAGAAGGGAGAAACCAGGAGAATGTGATGTCCTGGAAACTAAGGATAATGTTTTAAGCAGGTGGTTGGAAAATGATCCATGCTATTTATTAAGTTTCCCTTGAGATTAAACCATCTACAGTTGACTCAGGATTAAGTCGAACTACATATTCTGCATATAAATTTCAGTTTCTACCGATATGTAAGTCCTCTGAAAACAATCTTTCATCCTCTGGCATCAGTGACCCTTTGAGGATCTTTATGAATGCTGTGAGTCTTCCCTCAGAAAAATGCATTTGGGTACACAAAAGGCAGCACCCAGTTGCTGGGGGTTCCTAGACCCAGTAAAGTCTATTGCAATTCCCTTCTCCTCCACCAAAGAAGTCTTCTTAAGTAATTAACCAAACTTTCTCAATGTAGAAATTCAAGGATTGCAGGTCTCTTGGTTTTTCTCAATGTGTTTCCAAAGATTCAAATGACTTAAATTTTCTGTGCCCTTGGATGGAATATAAACCACCCATGGACTGGCTCCAGTATGAAAGCAACAGATAAAACAAAAATGAACTCACCACCATCTCCTGCACATGAAACATCTCTGCGCCTCCAGATGACAGCCGATTGGGGAATGAGATGCTGACAGATGACCCAGGAAGAGTGCTGGGCCCAGTGTTATAGACCTGTGGGTATAAGACAAACAGCGAGTTTTAACAGAAGGACAGATCTTCATTTCATGTCCTGCAATATACACTCAAAGAGCCTTTGAAATGATACACAGAGACTCTAGAGACTCTGATGTAGCTGGCCCAGAACTATACTTTGAGAACCACTGATCTGGTTCAGTCTGAGGTAGTTGAGATGTTTGAGGTAGTTGAGATGTCCAAAGACAAAGGGCGTCATCTCTAAATCAAAAGACCTAATTTCCGGAAAGGGCTACGTTTTCTCCACTACCCTGCTGGTTAGGTTTCTCTATAATTTGCAATCAATCATTTGTTAACACTGTTCACTGAAATTCATATGCATCTTTTCTGTTCTAACATTTGGCCCAGTAAAACTTTTGCCTTGTGGTCACTAAGTTTGTGATAATTTGTTACAGGAGTAATAGAAAAATAATGTAGAGAGTGACTGCTGATAGGAATGGAGTTTATTTTTAGGGTGATGAAACAGTTCTAAAATAAGATCATGGCAATTCATTATACAATATGGTAAACATTCTAAAAATCACCGAATCATACATTTTAAACAGGTGAACTTTAAGGTATGTAAATGATAATCTCAAGATAGATATTATTTAAAAAAGAAAATGGGAAAGAGGAAGAAACAAACTGCTCTCAGTGGCCTGGGACCAGAGCAAGAATTCAGGGACACGAGGTATCTCTGAGGTTGAGGTCAGAAGGGCAGAGGCAGGAGACAGGCTAGAAATCAACCCAGGTCTTCACCAGTAACAGCAAGTGCGAGTTAGCTCACTCAGCTCTTCCCTAGAAAACTGTGTCTTCATTTTTTGCCACAATTGGTTCTACATCAAAGCACAGACCAAAAATATGACATAGTGGATGAGCCGTCATGGCCAATTCTTGATGCAAAAAGAACAAAATCCACCAAAAGCAACAACCCGAAGACACAAGAAAAGGAAGGACCATCCAACCGCAATTGAATAAGCTAATTTGAAGTGAAATGTGAGCACGCAAAATTGAAAATAGCCCTATTGACATGTCTGGGAAATCCCAATTAAAGTATGAGTTGGGGGAAGGAAAGAAGAACACAATGCTGATTTGCATTATTTCATCATCAGAGCCAGATGCATGGGAGAGCTTGGATTACCATATTTATTTATTTTGAACAAATGTCTTAACATTTGATATTCTGCAATGTTCTTATGCAACATCTGCACTACTTCTTCTATTATTTTTGAGGTAAGGAAAATGATTTGACTGTAGGCAAAAAAAAAAAAAAGTCTATCAATGGTTAACAAATTATTCTGCTTCTGTTAAAAAAAAAAAACTGATGAAATATAGACACCAGGCCCAAGACTCGTATTTCTGTCTTTCTTCCATCTGTATTTGCAGTGGCATCTTTAAAAAATTACATAACTTGTTGAATAAGAGCTTTTAAAAGACAGTAAGTCTGTTTACATGGTGAGTCCTGTGCTCTTCTTCAGGAGGTTGTTGACAGAAAACAGAAAAATAAAGAGTTTAATCCATTTTCTGACCCAATCCACCCCCACTATTTCCACCTCTTGGTCATTATCCCCATAAACCTGGCCAGTGACCTCTCTGTAGGAAGGTCATAATAATGACAATTATCCCAGAAAAGGAGTTGTCAGAGAATTCTCCAGCAAACTGTCAGCCTTGTTAACACAAGAGGATCAATGTCACATGCTATCCTAATCAATGTCACACATTATCCATCTTTCAGACTCAGCCAACTCTCTTAATTCTGACCTGAATGCTATGCACTCCCTCAGGCAACTGATAATCAAGAAGTTTATCAAAGGGTCATGCCAATCACTCATTCCTGGGGGCCCAGATTCTCTGGCCTGTATCCTGTGTCAGGTCAGATGTGAAGAAAGATCTTTGCCTAAACACCAAAGTTCCCTGAAAAAAATGCCACAGGGAAGCATGACTTAACCACATGCTCTTGGATTTCTTTCTCTCTTTTTAGAGGGTGGGGAGAACATTTTTGTTTATTTGCTATTCTTCCTGTCTTCTCCTTTCAACACCTCTACCCTCCTCATTCCACGGGCTGGGCCATTTTGAACTCTTCTAAGTAATTGTCTGGACTGTATCTTATATGATTAAGACTCTGAGAAATGATGAATAAGAAAGAAAAGTGATTTAATTAAAATGAAATAACTCCATCTATTCTTTAACTGTTTTTCTATCCAGTTACAAAAGGCAATGGAGAAAAACGACTAATTCTGAGAAGTGGTTCAGAAACACCGAGAGCCAATTCATGGTAATCACACTTAGGTCTCAAAAGCCAGTTCTAACCCCACCTCTTTCCTCATAAATAAAGCTGGGGCTTAGCTGGCAGGGAGGGGCATCCTCTCTGGGCTAGGGCCATGTGTTATCCTTCAAGGTTTTGCAAGTCTCTTGCCTGGGAGAATATTTTGGTAAAAGGAAGACCGCTGCAAAAGTTCCACTGCCTCATCCTCGGGACCCTCACCTAGTCATTATCTGTCACCACCCTGGTCCACCTAGGAGTGGCCTAAGGGAAAGGAAATAATCATTATTTGGCCATAGCAGTGAATGCTGGATGGGAAAACAATCTTCTTTATGGGGAAGGATGGAGCAGAGGCAGGGATGAGCCTTGGGAGCTAGAACTGGAGAGATGGGCAATGTAGACTATAGAGCAGACCCATCTCCTCCCCCTCCCCTTCATGCCCAGCTCCTGGCAGGCACTAGGCCACAGAGGGGTGTCCAGTCCCTGTCTGTGCTGTCTTGACCCAGGCCCACCTCTCCCAGCTCTGGGTCCCCAGCATGTCCTTCCTTTTGTGGATCTACATTTCCCCACATTAGCCAATAGAGAAGAATGAACTGGATGATGCTGAGGTCCTACCTTTACTCAAAGAGTCTCACGGTGAACAGTGCTGGCCTGGTAATTTGAACTCTAGAGCAGGGGTATTGAACTCTGGCCAATATGCCAAATGTAGCCTGCACCTGTTTTTGTATAGCCTATGAGCTAAGAATGTTTTTACATTTTTTTAAATGGCTGGGGAATAAATCAATAGAAGGGAAGCATTTCATGACATGTGAACATGATATGAAATTCAAATTTCCATGTCCACAACTACAATGTTTCTGCCCTGCCTATTGCTGCTTTTGCACCTCACAGCATGGGGAATTACTGCTACCGAGCCTGTAAAGCCTAAATGACCCACCAATCCCTTTGCAGCAGCTTATGTGACTGGGGAGAGCAGGCACTGCTCTGGGAGGGAGCAGCTTGCTTCTGCTCAAGGGGGCTTTACATTTGCTTCCAGGCTGTGCTGGTGTAACACTACACTTGTGAAAGCTGCCCCCTGTGTGGGGAGCAGGCTCCTGGCTGAGTCAGTATGTGGAAACCCCTGGGGGAAGGAGACCGGGCATATCCTCCAGACTGCCCTGCCCGCAACATGGAGAATGATGGAGAACAGAAAGGGATCTTGTGGGGCCATTTGGGCTGAGTTGTTGGCCTAGGCCTCACCACACGAAGGCCTTCTTGGAGAAAGCTTGTGTTTATCATGTGGGTCTCTTGCCAAGTATTGAAGGGCAGAGGGGTCTATAGAGCAGAGTGCCAGACGAAAAGGGATTAACTCTGTGTGTGGTTACAGAACAAAAACATGAACACACACATACACACACACACACAAGACATTTTAGCCACCCAAGCTAGCAAGAGTTTTTCCTGGAAAGATCATGGTCCTCTCATTGCATTTCAGTAGGAGACTCATCCTGTGGGTGATTCCTATGGCGTCCAATGACAGGGGTGGGGGTGGGAGTAGAGGTACCTGAAGAGTGACATTGAGAGGATGGAAGTAACACTCCAGGTCCTCCAGCTGAATGAAGTTGGATGTGTCCACAGACTCGCCATACACAAAGGAGGTTGGAGATATGATTCTGCAAGAGGAAAGCATGAAACCCATCAAGCAACCCGAGATTACTGCTGTCCCCCAAATATCAGTCTATTTAATTTTAAACCTGGCTCCCTCCAATGTCTTCCACCAAATGCTTCCCTTCTGGAACTGTGACTTCTTCCTCCTGTAAATGGACATAAGCAGGCCTATACTTTCTAAACAGACACTCTCAGTAATGTCTGCTCACCTTAGGTTAAGTCAGTAGGCTGCATATACAAATATGGGCTAGGATTAAATTTCTAAAATGAGGAGGAGGAAGATGGTAGCTTCGGTTTCAGTTTTAAGTGATAAAAAATATGCACTTGAGTCTGTTCTGTCATTTGAAAAACATCTGTCTTGAGAAAGATTATGGCAAGGTTTTAAGAAATAAATATAAATGAGTTAAATATTTGGCACCCTTAAACCTACTTGTTGACCGATTCATTTTTAAAATTTACTCTCAAATGTTGAGCCCATTCAACTGATAGCGTTTGCCTTCAGATTTCAGACGAAGGCTACATAAGAGCTGATTAAAAATTTGAGTTTTGTTTATAATGAAGCATTCAACATTGCCCATAGGAACCCAAGAGATCAGAAAAAACCCAGACTCACTTAGATTCTCAGACAAACAATGGATTCTAGATGATATTCTAGAAGCTGCTTACTTGTCTAGTCAGAATAGTAGAAGATCTTTGGTACCAAGTCTGAATGAACAGCAATTCATCTATTTTCAACTTAAGTGTATCACTTTAGAAATGCAGTGAGTTCCCAATGTTATCAAATGGCAAGAGGTGGCTCCTTTAAGCCTGCCCCTGTTTTATGTTCCTGGAAAGATCAGAAGTTGATCAGAGGTTTGTTTAACTAATGCCGTCATCAGGGCTCTGAACACCCCACACTGAGGCCTCCCAGAACTTGACAACCTGATCAAGTGAGGGGGAGTGTTTTTTTCTTTTGTCCCTAAGGATGGGCCTGCTTCAGGGCATATTCTCACTATGATTCTGAGGAAGCAAGTAAATAAACTATATGGCTAAAAATAGCCACGAACAGAAGCAAATATATGCTAATTTGCAAAATTTATTCCACCAATGTCTCAAGTCAAAAGAACATGCAGAATGCCCAGAGACTCCCTCCTGGTGCCCAGCAGAGTGTACCCACAGAGGTGGGTCCTTGTGCAACGTGCTAACATTGTCCTTCCAGCAAAGGCCAGGACCCTGAAACACATGAGAAGTGAAAAAAAAAAAAAAAAAGAGAGAACCTCTGAGCCTCCAGAAAGTTCAGTACCCATTTGGGGCAAGGGTTCAATGGGTCCTCATGTGATCTGATTGTGCAAATCCCTTTTCCACTATCAAAATGGTATGTGTTCTGCTTTCAGAAGCCATAAATAGGACCGAGTTCTCATTTTCTAGGCTTGGGCTTTGCATGAAAACTGACCCAGGTTGTTTTGGTTTCCTGCAGTCCTGCTCTCCAACGCCAGAGCTCAGAGGGTCCATGGACTCACCTGGGCCGGCAGTGCGCCTGTGCTGCCCCTTCCCTGCCCATCACAGATGTGAGGCTGAGCCACTACTGGGTCCACAGAAGGGGTTAATAGCTACAGGCAAAACCAGCACAGATTGTAGGCTAGTCAGAAAGGCGGGCTTCCTGCAAGCCAGCCAGGGCATTTGGACACAAGTGGCGCTAACCTGTGGCTAAGATTTTAATCCCAGAAATCCTGCAACCATTGGCGCTCTGGAGGGGTGGGTGCCGTGAATATATACTTATAAAGCTACACGGAACATTCAAAGAAGTTACAGACTTAGGCATGTCCTCAAACTTGTGTTACTGACCAGGTGGGTAGACAGCTGGGAAAAAGGAGAAAACAAGGAAGAAGAGTGAGACACTGGCTAAAGCTTCATTCTGCATTTCAAAGCTGGTAAGAAGTGCGAGTGGCAGAGCCACCAACTCCTGCTACACATGAAAACAGAAGAAAAGTTCTGCGTCCCACCACCAGTCACTGGGGCTGTGCTGCATGACCTGGGACTGGACTGCTTACCCGGTGATGGACGTGTCCACTTCGTGCATCAGCGGCACTGTCAGTGTGAGTGTGTTGTCGTGCAGGGACTCAGCGCGCTCCACGTTGCCACTGAACCAGGAAGAGAGGATGGAACATCAGTCAGCGCCAGTGACCAAGCAGCAGGCTTCTCTGCTCAGTAGCACAGCTCATCCCTACGACCTCAACCCTGCGACCTCTAGGGCTGACTGTGTGCTAACTCGGCCCCAGGTCCGGTTTTGCTCCCTGTGCTGAGTCACAGCAGGCACCCTACTATCTTTTTTTTAAATATTTTATTTTATATAATTCTTACATCATTTTTCATTTTTGCACAAAACTCATGCAATTTGCAGCAACATGGATGGAGCTGGAAGGGATCATGCTCAGCAAAATAAACCAGAAAGAGAAAGAAAAATACTGGATGGTCTCACTCATACCAGGAATTGAGAAAACCTAAATAAGGGACCAGGAAAAAGACTAACTATAACAAAGAAAAAATCAAAATCAACAAGCAACTATAAACCAGAGACACACTACTGGGTGGGGTGGCGGGGAGAGGAAGGATCATGGTCAAAATAAGGGAGGGTGCAATTGTATGGGGAATATAACCAAGATGAAAATGCACCCTACTGTCTTCACTGTATTTCCCTTCTGAAGCTGGGAGTGCAAGTGGTGTGTTGGGGAGATGATCCCAGGAAATACCAGTAGAAGGTGGAGATGGGGAAGGGAAGGAAGTCAACAAAGGCATGTGACCCAGGAGGTTAGGCTGTGGCATCTGGGCTGGGCCTGGGCGGGGGGGCTCTGGGAGGCCACGTGGAGCATGCACCTACTGAGGCCTGGGAGTTGGGCCTCTGTCCACTGACTCCTGAGACCTGCTGAATGCTTATGGGGGCAGAGGGCATGAATTCCCTAGCACCTGCCCTATGCACACAGGTGAGTGGGCTCTGGCCAGAGAAAGCCTCAGGCAGAGCAGCGGGTACAGGGAACTGTCCAGTGGGGAGTGGGTAAGGCAACTACTGAGGGTTTATGGGTGGGCCTGAGCTACTTCTACAAATGCTTATTCTGTCAATAAGGTTAGGGCACTGCAGCAAGGACAGGGTTTGCTGGATCTCAGTTGCCACTTCCCACCTGGAGGCCTCACCCGTCATCATGGATAGCCAAACCTAGGGGAGAGGCCCTGACCAACCCTGTCACGATAAATTCTTCTGGAAGCAACCCCCACCCTGGCTGGGATATGTCCATATACAGGTATCCCCTTTGGGGTGAGCAAGTACGGTCACACCTTAGATGCACGTCACCACACCTCCTCTTCCACTGAGGCCCACACAGTCCCACAGAGTCCACTGTGCCAGAACAGGGACTGAGAAGGGCGGATGCCAGGGAGCTGCTGCTGTGGAGTGGCTGCTGTGTGGGGGCCACATTTCTCAGCATGATCTCACCAAGTCCAAGAAGGGAGGGGATTACCCACAGCGACAGCTAAGGAACAGCTCAGATAGCTCAGGTAACTCGCTCCAAGGACCCATAACAATGCAAACAGCACTGCGATTGTCCCCACCCAGGTCAGCCTCACTCTAAAAGCTTCAGGGCTTTTCCATCTGACACTGGATTTGGGAAGGGGGGAAGTTGGGGATGTAGAAGGAGGAGGAGAAAAGAGAAGACTTCTTTTCCCTTTACTATTTTATTCAATTTCAAATATGAATTGTAATGATTATTTCAGGGAAGCAGCTGCTTTGGGAAATTCATAGCTATTGGGTATGTGTTGCTGACGCCGCACTTCTGGTTGGCTCTATAGGATGAGTGGATGTGGGATTCCAGGGGAAAACCAAGTTCACTCTTTGGGGGTAAAACATAAGCATCCCCCAGACCTGCTGACATGTGCACAGGGCTCATCCTGCCCACTTCCCAGCCCACTGTTCCCCAACTTGTGCAGGGTTCCTGCCTGCTCCATGTCCCCCACCCCCTCACTTCCTCTCCCACCAGCAAGTACTGAATGGCAACATTACTTAAATAACACTAAGGTGCCCTTGCCTCTCTCCTATTGTTCTGAAACAATGGTGCTCTGTGACTCTGACCCCTGACTCTTCATCTGTCTTCCGCACTTGGGGTTGACATCCATTACTCAGAAGCCACAGACTGCAGAAGCAGCAGGATCAGGTGCCCCAGCGGCCTAGCTTTCTTGTCCTTCCTCTCCCCCCAGGCCATGAAAGCCAGAGTGGCAGCAATGGGAGGATCAGCGGAGACTCCCCCATGGACTGAACAGCTCCCTCCCCAACCAGCATCCTGCCAGCATCTGAGTAATCTGTTCCTGAGGGCAGGGCCACCTCTTGCCCCTGCCATTTGTCCAGCCACCTGTGGCCGCTGGCAGCTCAGGCCCAACAGTCTCATCTGTCATCAGGTGACCGCTCCAGACTGAGCTAAGTTGAAAAGTTGAGATAAAGGGGCCAAACATCAAAAGGTTTCCAGTCACTCTGCCAGCGCGTGACTTGGGATGCTTTCCCGTGATGGCTGCTGAGAGGAGAGCTCTTGAGAAACTGTTTAGTTTCAACTTTATGTCCTCCGAAATCCACAAGTGGGCAAGAGATCTTCAAAGGGTGGTGACAGGAAAGAAAGTAATGATTGATATTTTAACTGTGGCTTTCAAGATAAGGAGCTTTAAGGATCTTTCCGTCAGAGCAGGGAGTCAAGTGCTGTGGGTGCCCTCGGGACTGACTGTGAGGCCAGATTGTCACCAAAGTATGGAAAGAAAGAAGTGCCTGAAACAATCGGTGGCATGCCTACCAGATAATATAGCTTTCTTATCATTTGGGATTCAAAGAATTAGAAGATTCTGATAATTAATTATTTACGCTACCAATACTATGTGGCCCCTGGTGCTCTGTAATATTGATATACATAAGGAGATGTTGTGGAATTTAGTAAGTTACTGGCACTTTCTTATGTATAGATAAGCACAGGCATGCACATACAAATTAGCACTGTACCTGGTAAACAGTAGATGCTCAATAGATGTTTACGGAGTGGATATGTGCCCGGTTTAGAGTAAGGGACTATAGACAGTGGTTCTCAGCCTTGACAGCTCATTAGCATCATTAGATGCACCTTTTTTTAAAAATCCCAGTGCCCCAACTGCACTGCAAACCAATTAGATAAGAATCTGCAGGATGGATCAGGCATCTGTAGTTTTTAAAGCTATCCCAGGAGATTCTAAGGGGCCTCCCAGGCCAGAGCACCGCTGATCCGAGGAGATGAGATTTTACTAGATGAAGCTATCACCCCCGGGGGCTCCCCGGTGGCACAGCAGGTGAGCGCTGGGTTGCGAAGCTGCCTGCAGCCTCTGCAGCACTGGTTCGATCCACAGGCGCTGGGCAAGGGTCCCACATGGCACGCAGACCTCTCGCACTGCCCGCTGCTCCCCTCAGCAGTGTGCTTCGCCATTCTTCCTGCTCTGCTCTCCCCTTTGGCTCTGGTGAATTCTCTCACCCTCCCGTGCTTCTGACTATACCCAGTGCTTGTATAAATAAATAAATAAATCTTTTTTTTTTTTAAAAAAATGAAGCTATCACCCCCGTGCACCCCTTTTGGACACCTCTCAGCCCTGAGTGAGGCTGGGAGGCAGGTGGAGTTTCCTTTTATTTGAAAAGGGAAGTCTCTCACTTGTCATATTTCCTGCCCAGGTGTTCCTTCTTAGGAACATCAGCTGCCACAGATGTTGAGGGACCCAGAGAGCACATCAATGGACCTGCCCAACACTGGCGAGCTTTCTGTAGATCCTAGAAGTGGCAGGAGATGGGGATGGAGAGGGTATCTGTCCCCTTTATTAAATTCAGCAATCCCATGTTGTGTGGGCAAGCTCTTACATTGTGTCCCTTCCTTCTTCAAACATTTTCAGAGGTTCCCCTACTGCCCTTGGAAAACAGATCAGATCTCTGAGGCTATATGGGTCCTTCATGATCCAGCCCAGTCTCCTCTCTCACCAAATAACCACTTCTTTCTCCACAGCATCTTTGCCATCAGCAATGTGTAACCAGGGCATGGGCTTTCTGGCCCCATTAATTATTTTATCTTAAAAAAAAAACTCAATCCTTCTTACCTCTGAGCAGTAATGATGAAGCTAAGAATTCCCTCTTCCCCAGACAGGTGGCTTGTATCAAAGATCACGCTGAATTCATACTAGGGAAAGAGAAAGTGATATGTGCAGCAGGCATCCAAACTTAAAACGTTTTTCACAACAATCTCCTGCAGTGTATGACCTCTGGAGACTCATTTGCATGACAACTTCTGTTTTTCTGATAAGTATCTTTCTGATAGTCAGGCTAGAGATAAAGCTTTAATAATAAAATGCTCCTCTCTTAAACCATGACTTTGTAAATTCCACTTTCATACCATTTTGCCAATTTTGGTACATCTGCCCATGACATCACCTGTGCTGTTAAAACTCATATTTTTATTGCCTCATTCTTTTTGTTTACAGAGTATTTTAAAAGGAAATTTTATCTCATCACATAATGAAAATTTATCTCATTATCACAGATGAGCATCCAGGACCACTTACAATCAGGAGAAGGTCATCATAGAAACAAACACAATGAAAACAAAGCAATGTTGAATTCTGTTACCTGCTAAAGGCTCTGAGCCAAAGGTCTTCTCTATTTTGGTAATAGGGAGATTAACAAGTGGTCAGGAGGTGTTAAATATATGCAGCTCCACCAGAGACTTTCTCCCACATGTGGTTAAGACTGAGAGAGTGTTAAAAAGGTAATAATGTTCTTATTCTTTGAGCCTGTGTTGAACAGTGCAGTGTCCATTATCACCTAAAAGAATCTCATGAGCCACCTATAATCCTCTTAGGCACCCCCAGAGGTGAGCATCCTACGGCTTGGGGGGCATTGGCCTAAGAAGATGTTTTTGACTATATACAGGTTGGCATGCATGGGGAATGTGGGGAGTCCTTGGGTAGGGGTTATAGACTAGGCTCTACATAAACATGATGTTGGCCAAGACAATTGATCTCTGCATTTTAATAAAAATAAAGAGATTGGACAAAAAAATTCTTGAATTCAACAAAATTGTGGGCCTCCCCTGGTGGCGCAGCGGTTGAGCGTTGGGCTGTGAAGCTGCCTGCAGCCTCTGCAGCACCAGTTCGATCCCCGGCTGGCTGCCAGCAAGGGTCCCACATGGCACAACAGACCTCTCCTGCCATGCCCGCTGCTCCCCTCAGCAGTGTATTTCATCAATCTGCCTGTTTTGTTCCACACTCTGGCTCTGGTGAATTCTCTCACCCTCCTGTGCTTCTGACTATACCCAGTGCTTGTATAAATAAATAAATAAATAAATCTTAAAAAAAAAATTCAACCAAATTGAGTCTATGACTTTTCTTTTGGAGTCTATGACATATTTAACATATAAATATTTGGGTTCCTTTATGACTAATTATAGGCAATTGTCTAACTCCTCCATAGCAGTGAACTGAGTGCCACCAGAAGTGATGGACATAGGACCATGCACTATAGTGGACACTGGACATCCCTTTTGAGTCAGAAATGTCTGTGGTGGTGACACTTAGCTTACAGGATGGTGGGGAATGAGGACAGGAAGCAGAGCTGGAGGACAAAGGAAGGGAAAGTCAAGGACCTTGTCGCAGCAAAGAGTCAGAACTGGCAGGAGACCTGCATTCAACACATTACAGGTCACAGTGAGGTGAGAAGCTAAAGGTTTGGGTGAGAAGCCAAAATCAGAGGTGAAGGCCCAGGAGAAGAAGAGGTCAGAAGCTGGCAGGTGGGTCAGGAGGGGCACAAACACCTGGACAACCAGAGTCAGCCCACAGCTTAGTCATGTGGTTCAGCAGGTGGTCTGGGGCCTGAGGACCCACAGGGTATGAGGGACAGGGGGATGGCAAGACAAGTGGGCTGCCTGTAGAAGGAGCCCTTATCCCTGCTGGGTCACTTCTTAGATTTCTTCAAGGGAATGACCCCAGAAAACCCCCACCTAGAGTTTAATCTCATCATGGATCTTAACATCTATCTGTGGAAGGAAGGCAGCTGTTAACTAGGTTGGAAAAAATCCCAGCATTCCAACATATATCCTTTTGTCCATTGTGATTATTTTGAGAGTTAATGAATTTTGACAAAATGTAATACCTCAGAATTCAACATTGCTGTGTTTGCATTGTATTCATTTTTCTACCTTTTTTTTTTTCTTTATGGCAAGTGATCCTAGGTTCCTAATTGCTATAAGGACATAAATTTTCCTTTGAAAATAAGCTTTAGACTAAAACTAGCTAGATGCACTTAGGTTTGATTTGGGTGTGGGCTAGATTTTATATGAAATGGCAAACTGTCAAAATTTTTCCATTCAGTCTATTCTCTGGTGCTCAAAGGATTTCAAATAGATTTACACATGGAGGTATCATGTATTTTATTACAGGTAATGATGTCCAAGGCACAGGAACATCCTTGCGCCTCACCTTACCTGGAATTTAATGGGACTGGGTTAGTTTTCTGCCAGTTACATGTAAGATAATCCCCTCTCAAGGTTTCCCTTCTCCTGGATGAATGTGGACAGATGCGAGCAGAGCCAGGAAAAGGCTGAGGAATCCCAGATATAAGAGCTACCACAGTATGGAGCAGGGAAGTTCAAAAGGGCTGATAGGTTCAAGGGATTTGCTAAGAAACGAGCAGATTTTCTTCCCCATCAAAACATTCTCACAATTGTCTTATAAAACAGCTACAACATATTGGAACCAAAAAGCCTTCGAGATTAAAATGAATCAATTCTATAACATAGGCAGGAGAGAAGGATTAAACTTTCTCCTTTTTGGGGGGCAGGGAGGGGAAGGTAAACCAAGAAATATGAAATCTCCTTCAAGTCACAGCAGGGAAAACAGCTTCTATTTCAAAAGGCAGACCTGATCTTTTAGATTCTAGTCTTATCTCCCCAAATCACATCTTGTTCATATCTTTGTATTTCCTTACAATGATGGCACACACCAGGATTCTTCTGGAATGTGTGAATATACATCATATTATTGGTTGAGCTCAGAAAATTTGGCCCCTTATAAATGCCAACATGATTGTAATTTCTTCTGTTTAAAAGAAAAAAATGAAGTGCAACACAATTAGTATTGTATACCTTAAGTATTCAAGAAATCACTTAAAGAAATCACGAGAGTGTAGGGAAGTGACAGAGTCAGGACTGTAGGCTACTAGTCCGGACCACATCTCCCATGTTGTCCCAGGGACACAGCAACAGGGAATGGCCCAGCAAAGAACACTTTTAAGGAGGTCGACCAGATGCTTTTTTGCCAAGCAAAGGCCATAGTGCCTCACATCTGGGGTAGGTCGCAAGGGTCACAGCCTGTCCAGAGCGTACTGTGGAGTGCCATGGACAGGAGCATGGTACTGGTAGGGTCTCACTCTCCACCCATGGGGAGGCAGGGGTGTGGGAGGAAACCCCGGGGGTGGCAGCTGGTAGAGTGAGGGGTAGATGGGAAGGGTTGGGGGCCTCCTGCCAAGGAAGTGCCCCTCTCTGTCCCTTACCTTTGACTTTGACCTCATGAAAGGAAATCCCACACTGCACTTGAGGAAGTCCAATTCCAGCAGTTCACAGGAAATGCCCATTTCCTCCTGCAAGAGAAAAAGCACGAACAGATGGGCTGGCTGCACAAAGACAGATGTGTGGACGTGGACTCTGGGAGGCAAACAGAGGCTTCAGCAGACACAGTCCCTCTGTGGGCAGTTCTTGGATAACAGCCACCGCTGACTGGGGAGATCAGGAGTCTTTGACCAGACCAAGCCTCTAACCTCCTCTGGTTGCCCACTCTTCCTGTAGGTGGGGAGGAGAAAGCCACTCTCTCCTCTTGACTAACACTTCACCTGTGAACCTGTTGTGTCCTGAGCCAGGTGCCCTTAGGAACTGGGCGCCTCTTAAGGTCTGAATAAAAGCAACCAACTCATCTTTTCAGTCCCTTTTTTCCTAACACACACCCTAATTCTGCCTTTCAAGATGTTGCTAGTTTTTTTTTTTTAAGATTTATTTTATTATGAGTACAAGAACTGGGGTAAAGGCCAGAGGTGTGTGGGGGGTGAGAGGATTCACCAGAGACAGAGTGGGAGACAGAACAGGCAGACTGACTGAAATACACTGCTGAGGGGAGCAGTGGGCCAGTCAAAAGAGGTCTGCTGCGCCATGTGGGCAGCTCCCTGGCTGGGGATCGAACTTGTGTTGCAGAGGCTTCAGATAGCTTCATAGGTTGCATCTCAACCCCGTGAGCCACCAGGGAGTCCCAAGATGTTGCTAGTTTAGGAAAGAAAACTAAGGAAATACACCAGGGGATGCACAGGGGCTCTTTTGCAGCCTGGAGAGGTGGGGGCAGAGCTGCTCCCTTGCACACCTCCCCAGGGTAGAGGGTTGTGGGAGGGGGCATGTGCAAGGACAGGCCTCCCAGTACAGCTGGCTCAGAATGTGCTCTACCTACAGCGGCCTGGGGGAAACCAGAGAGGGGGCCGCTGGCAGCTGCTGCCTTTCCACCCAGACACATGGTTTATAACCAAGGTCAAAGGAAAGCCAGGAGGGGCTTCATAACCCAAGGGCCTCTCCAAGTCACTGGAGCCAGATGAAGACTTTCACAGGGAGACAGTATGTTTGCAGATTTTGGTGATGATGGTATAGCATAGAACTAGCACTGGCTGAAAGTCTAGATGCAGGGACACTGAATGAAGTTCATGAAATCATGTGACTTCCCTAACGGTATTCTTGGCTGACTCTAAAATCTGTCTTTTTTCCCACTCCACGGCCTTGGATTTCCACAGGGAATGAACAACCAACAATACAATGGCAGCCAAAAGGAACCTATTCATATGGACTCCAGATCTGAAAAGCCACCCAGGCTCCCGGCTCTTATTTCCAACACCCACCACCCACCTCAGCTCAGACCAACATTTCCAGCCCTCTAGACAGACTGGACTGAATAGATGTATTTTTTGCCTCCAATCAGGAAAATGATGTGAACACTGCTCACAATATACTTATTTAGTTATTATAAACATACACGACTACACTATTATGAACCTTATAGAAAACACAAAAAGTAGAAATGGCAAAAGATAAATCACTCATCTATAGGGTTAGAAGTCAAGGTAGTATGGGCCTCCCCTGGTGGCGCAGCGGTAGAGCGCTGGGCTGCGAAGCTGCCCACAGCCTCCGCAGCGCCGGGCGAGGGTCCCACATGGCGCACAGACCTCTCCTGCCGCCCACTGCTCCCCTCAGCAGTGTATTTCAGTACATCTGCCTGTTCTGCTCCCTGCTCTGGCTCTGGTGAATCCTCTCACCCTCCCACGCTTCTGACTGTACCCAGGGCTTGTATAAATAAATAAATAAATCTTTAAAAAAAAAAAAAAGAAGTCAAGGTCGTAATTGGGAAGTGAGTGGAAGGGGGTTTTTGAGGTGCTGGGAATATTATTGGGTATGATTCTATAAAATCCATTGAGCTGAACACAATAATTTGTATGGTTTCTGTTTCTTTGTTAAACATCAATCAAACTTTGCTTAGAAAATGGCAACAGAGCAGAGCAAACTGCTTCCCCCATCATCACCACTAGGAAACATAAGACAGGACATAGAGATATGAAAGGAAATCCTAGTTCACTTTTTCAGCAGCCAATCTTGGCGACAACTGATCTGAATGACTGTAAATTTTCTAGACTCTCCCTGACCTTAGCCAGCATCCTCGCATGGACTCAGGCTGCCTGCATGAGACTCAATTGGGAAGCTAAGGGACTGTGCTTGGAACCGAGAGGGCACGTGATGGCAATTTCAATATGGAAAACCAGAGAATAATTTCTCAAATGTGATCTCAAGACCTGCAAGTCCTGAATACAGGTCCTAATGTTCACTTCGAGGGCCTTTTGTCACCATCCTCATAATCCTTCCCCAGAAGCAGTGTCCACCACTGTCCCAAGTAGAAACTTCTCCAAATTCCAGCTAATCGGCTTGTGGGCATCAGAGACAGTGACGGGTAACTTCAGCATTCAGTTTCCCTGGCACAATCCTGGTTCACATCTATCAACCTGGTGTAATTACTCTCAAGAACATCCTGGCACACACACATGCAGGTGAATACACACATATGTGAGCACACACACATGCACACACACTCACATACACCCTGATTAATCAACCCAGTTCCAAACTCCCTTTGGAAAATTCAGTTTCTCACTAGAAATCCACTTCAAGCTAGGAGAGAGGTTTTTCTATCTAAATTGAAGGTCTATCTGTTCTTGAAATAAAGATTTATAGCTCCAAAGGCTTCTTCAGTTTTTGCAGGGGTGCAAAGGGACAAGGTGAGCTGAGGCAAAGGGGGCAGCCTTTGGAGCCCACGTCAAAAACTTTCAAAAACTTTCTCTGGCTTCAAAAACTTTCTCTGCAACTTCAGGGACGCTTAGCTTACTTAGTTTTGGGTTTCGACTGTTTCTGATTATTCAAGAGCTGCTGAATTACTTTATTATTTTGTGAATTCCAAAATGCTAGAAAATAACAATTTAACCAGCATTCATTGCATTATTCCAAGTCTCTTTTCTACTCTACTCAAATAAAAACTCCGAAACTCTAGTTGGGTCTCAGTGGGGATAAGCAAAAATATTGAAAAGCAAGACATCTTCAGGAGGGAGAGGCTACGCATGGGGCTTATGACTCATCTGCTCCAGGGATGGTCCCCAGGCAGGGTGTCATGGATCACCCCTGGCTGCCTGTCAGCACAGACACAGCTCTCCCGTGGCTATTCAAGCTGCTTTGACCAAGAGGCTTTAATTCTACATCCTGCTCTCCCTCCACAGCTGCGAGTTAAAGAGGCTCTGAATGTGGACTTTGGCAAACACAGTGACTCCCTGTGTGGGAGATGTGGGTGCTCCACTCAGCACCCCCTTACTAGATGGGCTCAAAAGCCCCAAGTTAAAGGGAGCCCCCTTTGCCTGTAAGGAAAGGACGACTTTTCCTTCCTGCAATTCACAGTCTATGATTGATGTGGGCTCCAAAGCCTGCCCCCTTTGCCTCAAGATGAGACCAGCTTCCCTGCAGCTCACCTTCCAGAGCTCCCATGGGACTGGGCCAGAGCCAACTCCCACTGGGAGCACAGACACCCGCCCCCGCCCCCCCACCCCTTCACTTTTCCCCAAGAGCATTTCCCCAACAAGTCGTCTACATAAGAAATCAGTTCTCAGTTCTGCTTTTGCAGAAATCGGGGTTCAGACAACACCCTGACAGAGGAGGCTCTTGGGACTGAGAACCATTGGAAAGTGCTGGGCCCTTGCTCAGGTGGGGCGAGACAAAGAAAAGGGGCGAGGGAACATTTAAAGCTAATAGGTGGGGAAGAAACTATCCAAGTGCAGGTTACAAAATCTGCACAGCTCCCTCATCAAGAGCACTTCACGCAAAGCATCACGGACACACCCTTTGTTCTGGCTTTAGGTCACACCCAGGGAAGCACCATAAACAACAGCATCGTCATGGAGCCTTGCACAGAGTCAGGTACCCCCTTGGTAGCCAAGTAAGCACAGAGAAAGATAGTAAGGCTAGAAAAAGTGATTTCTGGGGAGATGTGGCTAAACTCAGATGTCCCCTTTCACCTCGCTTTGGGAGAGTGTTTTGGTGAGGAGTTTCAGGAGGTAGATGGGAAAGATCTGGAGTTAGACTTCTCTCTTGGCTCTGATTCCAAGTCCCCATTATTGCTTACAGTGATTTAAACCTGTAAAACTTAGCCTTAGCATCACTGCAAGGCTTAGGATGACTAGCAATTAGCTGACTGTAAACAGGGGCCAGTGATCAAGACCATCCATCCTTTTCCCTGATGGCCAAATAGTGTAGACATATGATGAACCAGATCAAGTGCAGCATAAATCCACTACTGAGTGGGACTAAGGTCTCATTGCAAAAGGTGCAGGCTTTCAACAACTCAGTGTAGGGTAAGGAAAAATATCAGGCTTTTCTGCCCTCCCGCCGTCAGGATAGATGAGGGGACCCTGTGATCCTGAATGCATGCCTGATGGCGGGCACCTGAAATGGGTACACCTGCACTAAGACTGTGCTTTTAAGGGCGGCATCACAGGGTCACCAGAAACCGAGAAAGCAGCAGCAGAAGCCAAAGCAGAAGCCGAAAGAGAAGAAGCCCGAAGCAGAAGCAGAGAACGCCAGAGAGCCCAGATAGAGTGAAGATTTGCTGGGGGCTGGGAGGACTGCCAGCCTCCCAGCCCTCCAGCACCCCTGCCTGCCACGTACCCACTGAACCCCAATAAAAGACCTGCAAAAAACCACTGAGGACTCTGACTCCTCCTTCACCCGGTCTGCTGGATCAGAAAACCTGCCCCGTGTTCATTCCTGACCCCTTACACTCAGGAACCGTGATACTGAAAAGTTGCTCAAATTACTGAAGGCCACTGACAAATCTTGATCTGAAACAGTTAGATCAGTTAACTTTTGAAGAAGTAAACATTATCCCTGGATGATAACATTTTAGGGTGCAACAGAAGACAAGATTTAAACACAAACCATCAAGAGTACAATGTTACGAACTGTTAAACGTAGGATAACAAACATTTTCAAACTGTAGCTTAATTTTTAAGTAAAACCCCAA